AAAGGCCATTCCATTGTTTAAGGAACATTATCCATAACTTAAGTTTGTCGCGGCATGTGTGAGATAAGGGAATGAGGTCCTCGAGCGCGTAGACCGAAGACGCGAGTGAGAGAAGATGTGAGATGAGCGGCCTTGGGTCCTCGAGCGCGTAGACCGAAGACGCGAGTGAGAGAAGATGTGAGATGAAAGGGCGGCCTTGGGGAATGATGCGCATTGCGAAGTTTAAGTGTCCGAGCAGAGAAAGGAGTTCACATTTAGAGCAGCTTGGGTTGGCGAGGAGGGTAGAGGAGATGAGGATTATTCTATCGATCTTCTCCTTGGGCAGGGAGAGCTGAAATTTAGCTGAGTCTAAGTTGATGCCGAGGAACTCGATAAATGTAGTGGGACCCATGGTTTTTTCCTGAGCGATGGGGATCCCAAGCTCGGAAAAAACTTTTTGGACTGTGAGGATGTGGGTGGCTGGGATTGCGTCGGGAGGTGAAATGACCAGAAATTCGTCTAGGAGGTGAATGAGGTGAGGAATTGCGTAATTATTGGATAAGATCCAGCAAATGGCTTCTGATAACATATCGAAAATTTTGGGGCTGCTTTTGCATCCAAAGGTTAAACAGACGGCGAAATAGAATTTCCCGAGCCATCGTATCCCGAACAAATGCCATGAGTCCGGATGAATAGGCATCACTTTGAAGATAGAAGTGATGTCTATTTTTGCGAGCCAGGCTCCTTGACCCGCAATTTTAATCAATTCGACTGCCTGATCTATGTCGTGGTACTTGAGAGAAAATTCGTCAAGAGGGATCAAGCTATTAATGCTTGGGACCGTGGAATTATTTGGTGATGATAGATCAATTATTAGGCGTTTCTTACCTGAAAATTTCCTAGTAGCCACTCAGATGGGGCTGACGCGAAACGTTTCGAAGGGGGGTTTATCGAAAGGGACGACCATAAAGCCTGACTTGACTTCTTTTTTGATTAGGTTGTCTACGACGTCGGACTCTGCGTGGGCGGATTGGAGATTATTATAGATAAAATTTTGGGAAAGCGCGCATTCGACGCCAGGGTTTAAACCGTGTCTGAGGCCAGACAGAAGATAATTAGTAATTCTTTGTCTGGGTGGTGAGCGAGTTCGATGGTCAGGCGAGAAATATTCACGGGAGTCGATAGGTAATTTTTTGATTTTTTATTCACAGCTTTGTACACTGGGCAAACGATGCGGGCGTGAGCTCCGCCGCAGAATCTGCAGATGTGAATCTGATGCATCTCCTGCTGTTGAATGAGATGCATGACTGCCTGTTATCTGCTGCTGATGGGGCTGTTTGCTCAGGACCCGAGTTTGCAGTAGTTGCAGATCTTGGGATGTAGTTGGTGGATTTCACCGAGGAAGTATCAGGGCATGAGGGTATAGAGG